GTGTCTCTCCTGTGCCGAGGGCTCCAGAGCTGGACGCAGCCCTGCAGGGGGGTCTCCCCAGAGTGGGGCAGAGGGGCAGAACCCCCTCCCTCGCCCCGCTGGCCACATGGCTTTGGGTGCAGCCCAGGACACGGTTGGCCTTTGGGCTGTGAGCGCACGTTGTCGGATCATGTCCGGCTTTTCATTCCCCATGACCCCCATGTCCTTCTCCATGGGACTGCTCTTCATCCCTCCATCCCCCAGCCTGTACTGATAGCAGGGGTTGCCCCGACCCAGGTGCAGGACCCTGCACTTGGCCTTGTTGAAGTTCATGAGGTTCACATGGGCCCATGCCTCAAGCTTGTCCAGGTCCCTGTGGTTGGCATCCCATACTTCAGGTGTGTCAACTGCACCACTCAGCTTGGTGTCATCTGCAAACTTGCTGATGGTGCATTTGATCCCACTGTGTATGTCCTTGACAAAGATATGAAAGTACTGGTCACAATACGGACCCCTTGAGGGACACCGCTGTTCACTAATCTCCATCTGGACATTGATCCGTTGACCACTACCCTCTGGGTGTGACCACCCAACCAATTCCTCATCCACTTAACAGAACACCCATCAAATCCATATCTCTCCAATTTAAAGAGAAGGATGTTGTGGGAGACCGTGTCAAAGGCCTTACAGAACTCCAGATACATGACATTGGTAGCTCTAACCTTTGTCCACTGATGTGGTGACTCCATCACAGAATGCCACTAAGCTGGTCAGGCAGGATTTGCCCTTGATGAAGCCATGCTGGCTGTCTTGAATCACCTCCCTGTCCTCCATGTGCCTTAGCAGAGCTTCTAGGAGGATCTGTTCCATGATCATCCCAGGCATAGAAGTAAGGCTGATGGGTCAGTACTTCCCAGGGTCCTCCTTGCTACCTTTTTTAAAGATGAGTGCAATGTTTCCCTTTTTCCAGTCTCCAGGCTTCGTCAATAAGACCCCCCTTGGTCAGGTGGCCTGTAGTAGACACCAACCACAAGGTTCCCTTTGTTGCCTCAGTCCCTGATTCTTACCCATAAGCTTTTGACCTGCTCGTGGCTATTCCTCAGAGACAGCTCTTCGCACTCTATCCATTTCTTGATGGGCAACACCTCCACCCTTCCTTCCTCGCCTGTCCCCTCTGAACAGCCTAATAGCCACACTCCAGTCATGGGATTCGTGCCACCAAGTTTCAGTAATGGTGACCAGGTCATAGCTTTCTAGCAGCACGGTGGCTTCCAGCCCCTCCTGTTCATTGCCCATGCTGTGTGCACTGGTGTAGAGGTACTTCAGCTGGGCTGTTGGCTGTGTCACCTTCTTAGGGGAACACCCTCTGAGGTCTTTTCCTGGTGCAACAGGCTGAGGGGCCTCGCTAGCACCCTGTCCCTCTAACCTTGGTGTGTCAGCCCACAGCTTGTCGTGAGTGAGCCTGATATTATCCCCCTCCCCTTTCAAATCTAGTTTAAAGCCCTGTCAATAAGCGCCGCTCGCTTGCTAGCTTCTTCCCCCTTTGAGAAAGGTTAATCCCATCTGATGCCAGTAAGCCAGGTGCCGTGTAGGTCGTCCCATTATCAAAAAAACTAGAATAGTAGCAGTGGCACCAGTCACGGAGCCATGTGTTAATAGACTGGACGCATCTGTTTCTTCCTATGTCACTGCTTGGAACTAGAAGGAAGGAGGAAAAAATAATCTGTCCTCCAGAAAAATAACCTGTGCTCCAGACTTGTGCTCCAGACTTGATAATTTTAAACTATTTTCTTGATTCTAATCAGCTTTTTATCTGTCTCCTAGGGATCCCAGAGTTTTCCATAGCAGACAGGTGTATGATGAAAACTATGATTGGATTCAAAGGCAGATGTGGAAGGCTGTTGACATGACAGTGTTGCTGTACACTAGTGCTCATCTTTTGCTGCACACCTACAAGTAGGTTAAACCCAAAAACACTCCTGTAAAGTGGGTAAACATTATTATCTGAAAATCAGACATAGGGAAGCTGAGATGCAGATAGGTTAACTAGGCTCATGGAGCAAGGTAGTAGCAACTCCAGAAACAGAGCCAGCATTGTATTCCACATGGTTTAACCACTAGTTAATAC